CTATCAAAATAAAGGCTTCAAAGGCCCGAAAAATATCTTCAAAAACACGATTGAACGTGGTAATAACATGACTCCTTGGTTTTCCAGCTCTAAACTTTATTGTTTTGTTTAAGTCTTTAATGTTATTTCCATATAGAAGCAGCTGTTTTCAGCAGTTCTCTCTAAAACAACAACCTCTGTACACTGCCTGCCCAGTGTCCATCCATTATCTGCTTATCCTTTGGAGGGTAGCAGAGGGGGGCTGGAGATGATCCCAGCTGGGCGAGAGGCGGGGTACACAGGGCTGACCTGCCCAGCTTCACACAGACTAGTTAGCAACTATAGCTGGTGAACATACTGGAGCATTTAGCAGCTAAAGAGCCAGATATTATTTCACTCACAAGTCATGGAGAACAAAACTGTGGATAAAGTGTGCTGCTATTGCTCTGCAGCTGCTGTATTTACCGTATCAACTTCATGTAAATTTTAGGTTTATTTTGTCCAAAATTCACATTTTGTCCACAAATCTCTAGTGTGACCAGAGGTGGAAAACATATGCACATTATTTACTCAAGTAGAAGAATAGATTCAACTTCTTTACTCAAGTAAAAAGTGAGTAAAAACGACTTTCCTGGATTCTCTAAAGGATGTTTCTACCCTGCTACACTAACCATAACTTCAAATAGGGTCGAGTCTTCCTCTGTTTCATCTGTTAACTCATTTTCTGCATCTTTCATGTGATATCCACCGGTCTTGATGTTTGGAAGGCATGCTATGTTATAAAATAATAATAATCATAGTAATAATAAATTGATAATTCCCCTAAAATGCATCAGAACTAACCTGTTTTGAAAATGTGACTTAAAGAAAGTGCAGATATTTGTGCAAGAATTGGCTGATGAAACAGCCAATCCTTTAAAACAGAGGGGTTCAATAACAACTTGTGTTTGTGTCTCCTTTCGTCCTTTAGGGATGAACTCCATCTTTGTATATGTCGGCCACTCTCTCCTGGGTTTCTACTTCCCGTTCAGCTGGGAGATGCGTTTCCAGAAAGGCCATGGGGAATGGCTCTTCCAAAGCCTGTGGGGAACCGCACTGTGGGTGCTCATTGCTTACCTGCTGTACAGGAAGAAATTCTTCCTCAAAATATAAACCAGCAAGATCATCTGTCCCTTTTTATTATTACTGCAATTATGTTGTTTTTCGGTTCTTAACAAACTGTATTAATGGTGAGATATATGAATTATTACAACATCTGTGGGAGTTTTAAATAAAACATGGCCAACTGTTCTTGGCTTAATCAGTTGAGTTTATTTTTCAGTGATGTACCGAACTGATATCCAAACCATCTGACAAATCGAGTAGCTCAGAGGAACTTCTTAAAGTCTCAATCCAACACAAACTGCAACAAAAAGGGGGGGGGGGGGGAGTGTAAAAATATTAACCCATTAAACCCCTTAAACCACCACCCAGTTTGTAAAGAGGATGTCTGTCAGTGTGGGCAGCTGACAATTTATATGATGCAGCTTGTTTTGTGCTCTGAATAGACTGATTAAATCAAATATACTGAGGTGGTACTTAACAAATTAGGCCGAGTGATTCCACTAGACACAACGCCAGCCATTATGAGTCTGTTGCCATGGCCACTCCTTCTCTTTCTGTGTGTGTGTGTGTGTGTGTGTGTGTGTGTGTGTGTGTGTGCGCGCCGGTACCATCTGCTGTCCAAGTGACAGTACTTTAATAGGGGTCAAGATGCACAGCTCACAAAGGAGTGTCATTAATGGGACCGACACCTCTTGCACTCATTGTATTAAAAAAAATCAGGGAAATTACACAAATCCAATTCATCAGAGAATAACGACGAGACCCTTCAAAGAGCCCTTTACGTGTTTTACATATTCAACACACAAAGCTAGTTATCCACTAAAAGCAGGGTTTATTTCACACTTGGATTATAACATTTCCACATGGTTGACTATCTGGTTGAGTGATTTATAGATTAGTTTTGTGTGTATACATATTGAACACTCACAGGACTGTGCCCTCAGCATCAGGTCAGGTGGTGTGTAGATCATGAAATGACCATCTAGTTAATGAAATGAAACAGCAACGTGCTCTTCTTCCAGGGTGAAATCATATTACAAACTCCTTAGAAGCCGTAATAACATTGCGTAATATTGTGTAGTGGTTTTGGTAATTGTGTTATGAACAGAAGTTGTTGTTTGAATCCCTGTAGGTGCACCCCTCCCTTCTTGAACAGGAATCAAGTCCATAATTGCTTTCCCAAACTACCGTGCCAGCAGTGGAAACGCATAGATGAGATGAAAATGAAATCAATACAGACTCACCAGAGAGGGTTTAAAGATATATTTTGTGTATTTGCATGCAATAATAAAGCTTTGTATTTGAGTATAAGCATTTAGCTGACTCATTCTGGGTGACTTACAGTAACAGCAACAGCATAAAACCCATTAAACATCACAAGCAGCTGTGAATAAAGATAAAAAGGGTCCAAATGAAAGTGTCCAGACTGCGGAGGTGATGAATATTCTGCTTATATTTCAGATTGAATTTCTGCTGAAGCCAGTGTAAGAAAAAGCCCAGAAGATACTGTTGTGGTTCCACATACAAAGACTACACCACCACATTTCCTTGTCTTTATTGATTCCCATTGAGCATATGTCTCAGGATACCTATAGTCTGTCATATGGAAACTTTATCCCAGATACAATGTTCTCATGCAGACCGTTTGGACTCTTATATATCACATAATGATCCTCACAGTCTCCCTTGATACGACATTTATCCTCCTGTATGGTGTAAGTGAACGTTTGAGTACAGTATCTGTTAAGGTATTAACATTCATAAATGAAAAGACTGCACGATATCTTAAAGAAATTACTTAAAAGGGTTTTTATTGTACATAGTTTTAAAGGTCTAGTGTGTTGGATAAAGTGGCATTTCGGGGTGTAGTTCCAACCTAGTCGCTTCATGCTCCTTTTCCAAGTGTGAAGGAGAAACTACGGTGGCTGCAAAGCTCCCAAAAATGTAAACACCCCCATCTAGAGCCACTGGGCTACTGTAGAAACATGGAACATGAAAGGCGATCCTCACTTCCTATATTCAGGTGATTAAACACCAATGAAAACATACCTATGAATATTATATTCCACTCCCAAATGTTACACAATGAACCTTTAAGTTAAAGATCCCCTTCAGACGTGTATTAAGAGATATATAAATAGTCTGCTTGGAACAAAAATGTGTATTTTTTCTGCAAAAAAAGTATAATTTCCCTTAGTCCTTCTACCTCATTAAAAATTATTATTATGTATATAATTATATATTTATTTTAAAATTAAAAGAATCTATGAATATGTAAATGTTGTTAAGTGTCAAGTTTCTGCTTTTCTTTTTTTTCTGCGGATTTGTGATGTCACTAATCATGCTTGTAGGCCCCGCCCCCTAAAAATCAGATTTTCAATGAGCT